TTATTATTATTTTTTTTTAGGAAATACAGCGTTTCATTGGATTAGAGAGAAAATACATGCGCTTTACTAGTGAAAACGCGATCAAATGAGTTAAGGAGATTTTAAATGAGTCCAAATGTGATTCTTATAAATGTATAATCGTCTGATCACAATATTGGCAAAATTGTACTGTGACTTAAGACTACAGTTATTAACTTAAGACACTATACTGCGCAAACACTATAATAATAACCAATAGGCTACATAATATATTGCACTTTGTACTTGTTGTCTATATACAAACAAAAACAATAAACAAATGGAAACCCAAACAATCCTAGAAATGAACGTCTTACTTACTCGTTCATTTCCAGTGTTTTCCGTTCAATTGTGGATGCCATATTAAATATTGTTGAGGAATAATTCACTATTACATTTGATATGCGCACTTCCAGCCAAATATGTCCCACACTCGCCGTCTACGGTGCTGAAAGACCATCAACGTCCTGCTTAAATGAACTGCCTTCAGAGAAAAACGAGATGCACCTGCTTTGCTGCCTTCTTAGTGCACTGAAGATCAACAACCTATCGCACACATTAGGCTACGCTAAATCCCAAGTGCATCGACGTAGCTTCGTTGCATTCGATTTCTGTCTCCACGCATTTAATCCTCATCCTAGCCTATGTTGTTTCGGAATAATACGCGGTGACAGGCAGATGTCCCCCAACCGCGCTGTTTAATTACTCCAGGGCAACGGCCTGATAAATGTAGCGTTTGCGTCAAGCTTGGTTTCTCCTCTGTGCTGCATTTTGTGCTGCAAGTCTCTACAGCACTGTCCCGTAGGGCTGCTGTCTGTGGTCCCGTTATTATAGGGTAGCAGGTATTTTTAAATGGCCCTGCCCCCTCAGTTTCTGCTTTCTTTTCCGACTTCCTGCTCAAGACCGCTCGACAATGAGAGGAAATAGCGCTCCTACATGCGCTCGAGTCAGACTGGTGACTACCAGTCAATTATAAACCCGTCGGCTCGTGACTGGAGGGGTCACGAGCTCAAACAGACAGCCTCCTTCTCAAATACCTGTGATCATCCATCAAAGAGGTTTAGGAAAAAGCTGCAAACACGTATAATTAACAATGCGTTAATGTTTATGAAAAGGACACAGCTGCAACATTATAAGGGGGACCTGGGCTCTTGTCACAAGGGTTGTTGCCCGTCAGTAATTATGTAAGTCAGATGTAAACTAGTATTCTAATGCTACTTAGTTTACATCTATTCTAATTTTTATAATAAATTCTTTAATTTATATAATTGCATTATTAAAATTGTTATATAATTTTATAATAGTTTCTATAATTTATTTTATATATTTGATTAAATTTAATTTAGCTGAAAAGCTTGTAGGCTGTTTAAAAATGTTTTTGTCCTGGGCAATAATGTAGACATTCAAAAGATTATGTATGAGTCGGCACATACAGCTGCCTTTCGAGAATACCCTAATACAGGGGTTTCAAACTGGGAACACAAGAGAGTGCTGGGGGTGTTTAGAGAAAAACAGTGTTAAAAAATAAATGTATTATACATTTAAAAATAAATATATGATTTATTATATAATAAATATAAATAAATAATAAAAACAATAAAACGAAAACGAACCAATGCAATGAGATTAAAATAAAAATGTGTTATAAATAAATGGATGGATGAAAAAATAACAAAATAGATTATGCATGAATGAATTATAAAAGAGAATAAATAAATAAATAAAACAAAGAAATAAATAATACAGTACAGTGCTAGCGAGTAGGAAAAAACTTGCAATGTAATCAAAAATTTTCCAAATAATATTTAACACATTTTCATAATATTTACTTTTCATAGTATAAATTGGGCCTTCATACATAAAAATGTATAGCTGTCTTTTATATTTTATGATGGGGGTCACTCGCATGAGGATAATCATCTATAGGGGTCTGTGGCATCTAGAAGATCGAAAACCTGTGCCCTAATTCACAATGTTCATGTACTGTTAAAGGCATAATCATATGAAAACACATTCATCTGTAATTGCAACGCACCTAACAAACAAAGCAAATGGCTCTTTCCGAACCGTTTTCTCCTGATCTATCTCCTCACACTCATCTCTGCTTTATGTCGTTGGGGAAAACGCCTCTTATCTCCTGCCAGAGTAGCTCGGGTATAGTGTCAGCAGCATACTGCGCCAGGAGATAAAACACCCTGCACAACACTGACATCATCAATGCTTGGGGTCTTCAGTGGCAGCATCTCAGCCAAATGTTGGCTGTGCCAATCTGGCCCTAACCCTGTGAGGTCAATGATCGCCCTTCAGCTACAATTTGACTGTTTTACTATTCTGACTCGAAAAACTACATTTCATCCTAACAAATGTAAAGGTTTGTTGAGAGTAGGAACAATTTTTCTTTCATTTTCCCCCTTTTTTGTTTCCCTTTTTCATTCACTTTTGTTCATTATAAATTTAATTCGCAAAATATAAAATCCCATATATTAATATTTTTGTGAAAACCATGGTATCAAAATATTTTAAATAAATAGCAGAAAAAAATTAATTTATTCTGCGAGGACGCATCAAATTTGATCAAAAGTGACAGTAAAGACATTTATAATGTTACAAAAGATGTCTATTTCAAATAAATGCTCTTCATCGAACTTTCTATTCATCAAAGAATCCCAAATAAAAAAAAAACGGATCACGGTTTCCACAAAAATATGAAGCAGCAAAAACTGTTGATAATATTAAGAACCATTATTAATAATTGAACACCAATAATAATTAATAACTGAGCACCAAAATAGGAATTAGAATGATTTCTTGAGGATGTGACACTGAAGACTGGAGGCTGCTGAAGATTCAACTATGCAATCACTGAAATAAATTACATTTTAAATTGTAATACTATTTCACAATATTACAGAAACAACATATTGTATTTTTTTGAATAAATAATTGCAGCCCTGGTGAGCACAGGAGACTTCTTTCAAAAACATTCAAAAATCTTAAGTACTTTAGAGAAACAGATTTCCCAAGAATGTAGATGATAACATAACTAACATTTACTTGTTTGCTTCGACAGTTTGTTTTTTAATAGCTGTTAAACTGTGTGCATAAGGCGTCCACCATTTCCTGTGGATTGGACACAGCAAACCCAGAGGATGTACAGGAAATGAGCACAGATGAACCTTGGCAGGGGGTGGTATGAGCCATGCTGACTTCCTACTCGTTTCACTTGATCACCCTGCTGGACTCTGATTGGTTGGATAACTCCAGATGGCCCCCCTTGATAGGAGAAGGGCTTTTGAGACAGCGCCTCGGAAACCACTGACTGTCAACTCATCTACTTGGCAGGAAAAGCTTTCTTAACTCTGGGTAGGTTTCCTTCATAAATAGGGATGTAGTAAACATATCATGGCTTACGATGTCTCTATGTTATTAGCTATTTTCTAAAAATGCGGAGTGTCATACATTCAAAAACATTCAGAGAAAATCTGAGAGCCACAGCAAGACAACATATAGTGCAAAATATTCTTTGAAATTTGAAGGAATTTCAGCAAAACTGAACTCGTCTATAGTTTCTGTAGAAAGAGAAACTGAAATAACATGTTCACAGAACTGAAATAAATTTAACACAAGCTAAATTGTTTTATACAAAATCCAAAAACAATTAACATAAAACAATAATTTTAGATTTGATTTTTTACATGTTTGTTTGTTTGTTTGTTTTTCATATATGACTATATCATGATTTGCTCCAAATTGTACATTTTATAGCATGAAATTATATATCAAAATAGCACAATAGTATACAATTTCAACTGTGAAATTGAAAAAATTGTACACAATATTTAGTCTATTTATTCAACATTTTAAAAGAAGGGAATAACTTATAAAAATTTTTTTTTACTGTTACATTAATTCTGGGTTGAATGTTTCAGGGATAAAGGTCAAAGGTCAAAAAATGGCTAATAAAGGCCTTAAAGGGATAGTTCACCCAAAAATGAAAATTATGTCATACCTTTAAAGCTTTTATTAGCCATTTTGACCTTTGGCCATTATCCCTAATATTTAACCCAGAATTAATGCAACAGGAGCACAGCAAAAAACGAATTTAAAAAAGGTTGAGTAAACGAATTCCCAGTTGTTGTGACAATATTGAAATAATCTAGCATTGATCTAATCATAAATGACTGATAATACTTTGCAAGCTTTAACCACATATTCAGGATTGAGAGTGAATTAGGAATCAGCCATAAAAAAAACCTGAATAATGTTTAACCAGCAATCTGAATAGGGGAGATTCGCCCCCTATGGTGGCCATGGTATTTTTTTTGCTTGAGGTTGAAAATATGATTTATTGTAAGTCCAGGCTTAATAGGAAATGTCATTTGATTGGCCTCATACTGGATGTGTTTTACTTGTTTACTTGTTTTAATTGAGCCTTTTGGCATACTGGAGAAGAAAACAATTTAAAAATGAAATAAATGCATACATACATATGTACGTACTTACGTTCTCATAGGGAAAGGTTATACATTTTATTTAGCTTTTACTGACATTAAAATAGTATATAATAGCATAAAATTTAAATTGTGATATGGACCACAAAACCAGTCATAAGTGTCCATTTTTTCGAAATTGAGGTTTATACATCATCTGAAAGCTGAATAAATACACTTTCCATTGATGTATGGTTTGTTAGTATATGATAATATTTGAAAATCTGGAATCTGAGGGTGCAAAATAATCTAAATATTGAGAAAATCGCCTTTAAAGTTGTCCAAATGAAGTTCTTAGCAATGTATAATAATACATAATAATAATGTATATTACTAATCAAAACTGAAGTTTTAATATATTTACGGTAGGAAATTTACAAAATATCTTCATGGAACATGATCTTTACTTAATATCCTAATGATTTTTGGCATAAAAGAAAAATCTATCATTTTGACCCATACAATGTATTTTTGGCTTTTGCTACAAATATACCTCAGCGATTAAAGACTGGTTTTGTGGTCCAGGATCACATATATGAATTTTTTTTTAATAAATATGTGATTTATTACAAGCAAATAACCCTGAGGTATACCAGAATTTACTCACTTACTTTGACATGAATTCCAAACCTACTGTGACAGTGTTAAAATAATGTAGCAGTTTATAATTAGGCTTAGTGTTATTAATAAATCACTTTTGATACTCCGCAAGGCTGTTAGCACATGGATTTAGAATTTAGAAATCAGCCACTGAAACGTCATACCGATTAAACAGAAATCTGAATATTAGGGTGGATCAGTCCCTTGGTGTCCTGGTCCTTTGGCTCTGCAAGGGTAGGCTGATTTATTGAAAGTCCAGACCTAATAGGAAATGCCATTGACTGATCATTTGCCATGGAACATGCTTTGACTCAATAACAAAAAACTGAAACATATCCTCTTACTGGATGTGTTTGACATGTTCTGTTTTAATTAGGACCTATAAGCTGCCTTTAGCCTACTGGAGAAGAGATCCATCACAGGCTGGGTAATCACAGTAAGGCGTATTTCCTGTAAGGAGAGAGCCTGGATGTGTTGTTGACTCTCTGATAGCAGCAATAGCCAGGCTACTGCTTCCTACATAATCTTAGCGTAAACTATTGTTGGCTCATTTTTGAGAAGCTTATGCGAACACCATTATTTGGACTAAGTAAAAACATTGTTGTGACTACAAGTTTGTAATTTGTTCATTGTAAACTTCAGATGATCAGTGATTAAAGTAGAAGCCATATTTGTGACACTGATAGATATATTAATGGACTGTTTAAGTTGAGGATTGCTGCTGCTGTTACTAAACACAACAGAGAGCGGAAATGAGTCACTCGTTGAAAGAAAGCTTCACTCTCCCATGAGATTTTGCTGTAATCAGTATTATTCCTGAAAGAAAACACCCTTTCAATAGAACATTGCTATCAAAGAGCAGAGCAACCATGTTAACTGCTTCCTGTATATGCCAAACAAAACCTCATGCAACTGCATTCACATAGTTTTTGAATAGTTGATGATTTTTACAGAAAGCTTTATTTTATATATCTATCTATATGAAATTATTTTTGCAATATCAACACTTCTTGAAGGAATAAAAAGCTTAATGATTGTGTGGGAAAAGTAAGGGATATATTTCGTTAAAACGATAATTCACTGGGCAAAAAAATAAAATGTCTCTGCCTTCATTTGGTTTCAAACCTGTTAAACTATTGTGGAACACAAAAGTGGATCTTAAGCAGAATGCTAGACAGACAGACAGTCATGATTTTTGTTTTCCACTAAGTGATTAGTGACTGCCATTTCTTTTAAAAGGGTCATATGATGGTGCTAAAAAGAACATTTATTTGGTGTAAAGTAAAAAAAAAAAACACAATTTTCCACATACTGTACATTATTGTTTCTCCTCTATGCCCCGCCTTTTTGAAACGCGTCGATTTTTACAAAGCTCATCTGTCTGAAAAAGCGAGGTGTGCTCTGATTGGCCAGCAATCCAGTGCGTTGTGATTAGCCGAATACCTCAAGTGTGTGACAGAAATGTTACGCCCCTCACCATACTGTTGATGCCGTGTCCCGGCCTGAGCCACGAGACAAAAACAATAAAACCCATTATAAACGAGGCATTTGTTGCATCCAGTGGGGACATAATTACTGATTATAATGACATATACTGTCTTTTTACGCGTTGCGTTGCATCGCGCCGCGTAAACATAAAACTCTGCATTTGTGATCGTGCATCGTCAACCACAAATGCTAACCGGATATCGTTCATAGTTTTAGCACATGCTAGCCGGTCAACTTTGGACGTTATTCCATTTCTCTTGACAAATGTATTTACATAATTACTTTCTTTTCGTTATTTACCTTCTCTATATAATTCGCGATTATATTTCTTGATTTTTGTGAGTTTCTAGGATCACTATTTGTTTCGCACGCACATGGAGATGGAGATAAAGCGAACATGGCGTCCTAAAACAGGTTCAGCATGCTAAAAAATGGGGAAACAGTCAGCGCAAAAATGCATTTAAATGAAAATGATAGTTAATGTTTTGGATGCTCTCAGGCTTGTGCTGATGTGGGTTTGTCGAGGTAAATGGGTCTTTTGTATCCTGCAGGTTTCTGAGCTTCGCCGGAGAAACTTTGAACTTGGTGACAGTGCAGCACATTGCTTTTATATTGGTTTATTTATTAGCTTAATGATTGTGTGGGAAAAGTAAGGGATATATTTCGTTAAAACGATAATTCACTGGGCAAAAAAATAAAATGTCTCTGCCTTCCTTTGGTTTCAAACCTGTTAAACTATTGTGGAACACAAAAGTGGATCTTAAGCAGAATGCTAGACAGACAGACAGTCATGATTTTTGTTTTCCACTAAGTGATTAGTGACTGCCATTTCTTTTAAAAGGGTCATATGATGGTGCTAAAAAGAACATTATTTGGTGTAAAGTAAAAAAAAAAAAACACAATTTTCCACATACTGTACATTATTGTTTCTCCTCTATGCCCCGCCTTTTTGAAACGCGTCGATTTTTACAAAGCTCATCTGTCTGAAAAAGCGAGGTGTGCTCTGATTGGCCAGCAATCCAGTGCGTTGTGATTAGCCGAATACCTCAAGTGTGTGACAGAAATGTTACGCCCCTCACCATACTGTTGATGCCGTGTCCCGGCCTGAGCCACGAGACAAAAACAATAAAACCCATTATAAACGAGGCATTTGTTGCATCCAGTGGGGACATAATTACTGATTATAATGACATATACTGTCTTTTTACGCGTTGCGTTGCATCGCGCCGCGTAAACATAAAACTCCCATCCATCCATCCATCCGTGTCTAACAAATTAAAAATTGTTTGCTTATCTTTTGGATTGTATATTCACAATGGGATGCTTTTATCTTACACAGGTTAACTGACCAGTATCAAGAAACATCACAGCACTTATGGGAACTTTTGGAGGGGAAGGACAAGCCTGTAGCAGGAACAACATGTATGTCAAATTGACTTTTTAAACTTCTTTTTAGGGTCTGATAGCTCATAACATCTATTTGTAAGAAGTTAAAAATGAAATTAATATTGGATTTTTATGAATTTTCGATGTGTATCAGCTTTTTCTGTTTTTTAAAAAGTAAAATTTTTCACCCCGTTTTCTTTTTCTTTTTTTTTCCTTTTTAAATATCAACAAGCATTCAACTGTACTGGAAACTATTTCCACATGATCCAATTATGTTTCTGTGCGTGTTGGTACAAGGAGATTTATATGAGCATTTTCAGGAAAAATCATGTAATGTCTTTTGAAAGCTTGCATTGTTTAATTAAAGAAAACCTTTATGGCAATTATAGAATGTTGCATAAATTGGTCGGCATCATTCTTGAGTGTTTACCAAAGCAAGACATAGATATGGGCAAAGGTGGCATATACTGCAGCATTCCGTCATGATGCATGTGCTGACTCAGCAGTGGGTGGAGTGGCATGATCCATATCCCCTGTCTTCTGTATCCATGTGATTCTGCAGCTGTGTGCTAGGGAAACTCCCCAAGGACACTGACTGTGAAAGATCACTTGATCAATGTGGGGGATCCATAGGTCATGCTAGCGCCATGTTAACTTTAATGGCCAGTTAAAAGGCACATTAAAATACTTCTAATATATTCACAGGATTGCTTAATTTGAACGAGTGTAAAAATATCATAAAAAATCTTATCACCTACAGTAGCCCTGCATTAGAAAGCTTCCAGCCTCTAGCACTTTTCTTCAGTGGTATTCTGTGGCAGATCATGTGGCTCATGGCATATAAATACATCCGTTTGCTATGTACCAGCTGGGCTTGCAGTATGCAGTGTGATGGTCCTCTATAATCGTTTAAGCTTTTCAGTATTTAAAAAAAAATTTTTTTAGAGTCCGTTTGTTTGTAATTACTTTTTATTCTGCGTGGATGCATTAAATTGATGGAAATTGACAGTAAAAACACTTGTTACATAAGACTTATATATTTTTATGTGTTGTATTTTAATGTTATTTAGACAATCCGGAATTCTTTTTAACATGGTTTCCAAAGAAAGAAAAAATAAACATTAAGCAACATGACTGTTTTTAACATTAATAATAACAAATCTTTCTTGAGCACCATCAACCTATTAGAAAGATTTTTGAATGCTCATGTAACACTGAAGACTGTTCAGTTTTGCATCACCGGAATAAGTTACATTTTAAAATTGTAATATTTAACTTACTGCATTTTTCATCAAATGAATGCATCCTTGGTGAGCATCTTACTGATCCTAAACATTTGAACAGGAGTGTACATGCTTGTTTTCAGATAAAGCACTGAATGAGATGTTGGAGCGAGTTTTGCAGAGCGGCTACTTTGACAGAGTGCAGTCTCATCAGAATGGAGTTTGCACCGAGGAAGAGGAGCAGACAGCTGCAGTGGAAGTGTCTGAAGCAGAGGAGCACCCTCCCGACACAGGTAAAACACTTTCATTTCACATTGCTCAATCGAGTTACTGTCATTCTGAAACTGCTTATGTCTCCTAACAGAGGGTGAAATGACAGAGTGTGCAGAACCTGTTGCAATTGAGGTGACACAGGTGAGACAAGTTGGTTAAATGCACTTTGTAAAATGCAAGATTAACGGGTCATGAAACCATAGACTACTTTTTCTGAGATTTTAGCAGAGGTGTTTGTGTTGCACATCATAGAAGACAATGTTAGCATTTGATAGTTCTAACTGATGGAGAAAACTGGCTAATTTTAACAGGGCTCGACGCTTTTCTTTTTAGGAGCACTTGTGCTCCTAACTTAAAAAATTTAGGAGCACGTTCAAAATTTTAGGAGCACCTTCTAATCAATAATCCAAAATGTTATCAAAAAGTAGCCTTCCCATTACGAGGTAATATTTGACTCCTCTAACTTTATTAAAAGTATGTCATCTTTTGTCAAATTCTTAAATTATATTTTATAAGCTTAACAACAGAATAAGAGTAGAATAAGAAACAAGTTAAAAATCAAATGAAATCAGTATTAACAAAAATAATTTGTAGAGGTGGCACAGAAGAACACAAAAGTGTTGTTTGATGTACTTTCAGACATTTAATGAGGCTCAGAAGTGGAATGAGTGCAATTAAATCCATAAATCCATGATGATATTAATGTTTTAAATATAAAATTTTGAATATAGAAATATTAAATGATTTAAATAACTGAAAAGATACTTTAAAAATGAAACTAAAACTGCCAGCAGGTGGCGGCAAGTCACTGATTTTTATCACTGAATCATTCATTCAATTGATTCATTCGAACGGCTTATTCATTCAAGAGTGACTGTCTTTATGAATGGGTAATCATGAATCACTGACTCACTAGATTCGTTTAAAAAAACTGTTCGTTCATAAACGAAACACCGCTGTGTTTGAATGGAGATGCGCAGCGGCTGAGCTGTGACTTTGTTTTTAAACTATTTTCGAAATATTTCGAAATACAACGAAATAGAGCAAAATCAGACAATAGTGTTATAGTCAGACAATGTAAGTAACTTAAAATTAACTTCTTGTTTATTGAATTGTATTGTATTAAATCAGTTATCACATTTACAAACTCCCTTAAAAATCATTCAAAGCTGTCACTCATCATCTTAGTTCATCGCGAGCTCACATTTATAATCAACGAAGCTCTCTACACTGTGTGATGAATCTCTTATTTACACCCTGTCTACACTTTGCTTATGAAGGATTGGTGAGATATGTCTGATACATTACTCGACGCTGCAAAAACACGTAGAAAGCTTTGAAGCTTCCCTGAGCGCAATCACAAGTATGATGATGATCGGGTCAGTCGCACTGGTGCTCCTAAAATAAATTTCATAGTCGCACGCAGTAGTTTTCAGTCGCAAATGCGACTGAAATGGTCGCACTGTCGAGCCCTGTTTTAAGCTTTTTTTGCACTATTTTCATCTGCCGGGTTTAAAATCTACATCGTGTTGACATTCACAATTTCACAATTTGTGACGTGGCAATGGACTAATAGTACATCAAGCATCGGTGTCTTAAATTATTCATGAGACTGTGTTCTTATCCTATGAGAAGACGCTTTGCTTAATTATTCACAACAGCATGTGTTGATTTGCTATGACAGACGCTTCAGACTGCGAGATTGAAGGAGAGTGTTTGTTTTTGCTTTGCAGGGACGTGCAGAGAGTTCCTCAGGGGCAGGGGCTCAAATGTAAAATGGGGGCAATTAAAAAAAAATAAAAATTCCAACGTTTGGTTACATTACTATTTTATCTTTTTGCAAGTCACTTATGGTCATCAAGCCTGCATTAATTTGATAAATTTTTATATACTTTAAAATGCATTTTATGGAATGTTGATTTTATTATCAATGTTGGAAACATGTGATAATTTTTTCAGGATTCTTTGATGAATAAAAAGTTCAAAAAGGACAGCATTTATTTAAAATATAACTTTTGTAACAATATACACTACCCTTCAAAATAGGGATGTCAATGATTAATCGATGATCGATTAATGGTCGATAAGAGATGCTATCGATGGTCGATTAAGCAGTTTAGTTTTGGGCTGCGTGCGGCTCATGCGCAAAACACGTGCGAGCTGCTGTGCAGTGACGGTATATAAATGCATCATCATTCATTCATGTACTAATTAAGCTTTTAATGCAATTTTAAACTTTAAAAGTACATTAAAATAAAAACACAACACAAAGTTCTTCAACATGGAATGCAATAGAAATGTAGTAACCAAGCCATTTCCCCAGATAATTGTTTCATATTTGAAACAATTAGGTGAAGGTTGCAGGGCTGCGGGACACTGTGAGGGAAGGATTCATTCCTACAACTTATTAATTTGTGGCCACTGTCAATGTTTTTTTAATTTTGTTCTTAAAAATAACCCATGATTTAACTAAAATGAGAGAACAAATTAATACATCGAACAAATTCTTAATTCATGGCCATGAAATCTTTCATTTCCCTTCCGCATGTTTACCACAGTAAGAAATGCGAAAACAGTGATTAAAAAGTGAATGACAATAAAATAAACCTGCAAAAGTAGAGGGTTAGACGGTGAGGATTTAGGAAAAGAAACAATGCCTAAATTTGTGGAAATTCGTGACCAAGAACAAAGCCGCATAAATGTAGGCTATATGGGCTCGAACGGCATCCAAAAGCATGGTCGCGATGTAACATTTTCCAGCTAACCAAATATACCGCACTTGTCATAATCAGAGCTTATAATTTGTAAATAAATAATTGCTGGATTAAAAACAGCAATTAAACGGGCGCTGTGACTGACACTGACTATACATTTTCCCGGAGCATTCAATGCTGTCACTAAACAGTGATGCCACAACTATAAGAGCATCGTTCACAAGTTTCTACATGACCTAACTAGCTTAGGGCACAGCTTTTCAAGCCCTGGGACAAAATAAGATGCTTTAAGGAAAATGTATAGCCTATGGAAGTAATAGGCCTAAAATAAAAATAACAATGTTTTCATAAAAAAAAAAAAGCGAAATATATCTGACTTAAATAATTAAGCTAACAGATTTAAAACAGAAGTGTGGCGCGGCGCTCCATAAACAAGTTCACAGAAAGGATGACAACGCGCATCCTGTTTGTTTGCTTTATTTTGCAAAAGCACAAATCTTGTTTTTATTGCGAGTGTGCAAAAATAAAAGTAAACACTTTTGCGGATTATATCTTACTCCAAAAATATATATAGAGTTTTTTTTATGTTTCAGCTGTTCGATTGCACCGTCACCTCACGCGCACACACCCCACATATTCTAGCACTTCAAACTTACATCGCAGTCTGTTCATTATCAAAATAAAAGTCAACCAAACATATAAAAGCTTACACTGGTCAGTTTAAATAGACCGTAGTACCGGTCCACTCTGCTGTTATGCCAAGGACTTTTTTTGCTCCTGTGAAGAGGATGATCTTTTCCATCTATATGCGAATGCGTGTAAAGTACAAGCCTAGTTTACATTATAAATAATAGTTTAACATTCAAATACATTGCGAATATGGAAACATTTGGATTTGTGCCGAATGAGACGCGAGTAATAGCCTCCAAATACATCTGGCCAAACCCGCGCTCGGTCCATCTCGTATGCACGCAAGCATGCACTGTCACAATCTAATGCACTGTAAATGCCGACATTTTCCGGAACGGGATCCAGCAGGATCAAATTAAGTACTGGTCATGATACTCACATAAAAATGTTTCATGTTAGCAACAGTGTGTTTTGCTGCAGCAGCGCCGATGGAAGCGGTTCACTGACTGCACAGCCACACGCACCAGTTACGTTTGGGATAATTTTCTTTTAAATGCCATAATGTCAGTTGAAAACATTGCAATTGTTTTTTAAAATACAATAACGAGCACCACGAAACCATTTAAAGAGGCGCGTTCAGCGGTCTCCGTGTCGGGATAGGAAACAGTCAACAAAGTAAAATGATCTCAAATGGACTCTCTTCATTTTATCAAATGATCATAATCACATCTATTCATTTTACAATCCTGCTACTAGCATTTTATTCCGACTAAAACCCATTTAATTCGGGTGAGAAAGCAGTTTTTTTTTTTTGAGTGGCTTTTGCATGTCATGTCGGTGACTGTGTGCTGCTGCAATAGACGCATTTTGCGGCATTAAAGTTAACGATTAATCGATTAATTGATCGTTAATTTAAACGATGTTCGATCATGGAAATTATCGAAAATTGACATCCCTAGTTCGAAAGCTTGAGGTCAGTATTATTTTTTTTGTTTGAAAGAAATTAGTTTTTATTCAGCAAGGATTTGTTAAATTAATAGAAACCGTGATAGAGATGTTTTCTAACAATATAAATCTTTACTATTTTGAACAAATGCTGTTCTTTTTAACTTTTTATTCAACCCCAAAAAAGTATCACAGGTTACAAAAAAATTAAGCAGCACAACTGTTTCAAACATTGATAATAAATCAGCATATTAGAATGAGTTTTGAAGGATCATGCGCTGAAGACTGGAGTAGGCTAATGATGCTGAAAATTCAGCTTTGCATCAGAAATAAATGATATTTTAAAGTGTATTTCAAAAACATTCTTTTAAATTGTAATAATAGTTCACAATATTATTCTTTTTTTATTTTTTTTTTGATAAAATAAATGCAGGCTTAATGAGCATAAGATGCATTCATAATGCTGCATAATTATCAAAAATGGTAATATAATAAAGTCCTTTCACATCACCATTTCGCTAGCCTACACTTCAAATAATAGGCCTGTAGGTGGCACTTGGGCTTCATTAACTATGATAGTTTCATGAAATGGTAAACGGTGTAGCCTATCATAAATATCAGTGAATTGAATACTGATTACCATTATTGCAACTTTTGGCGCTGCACGGTTTTGTGCAGTCCTTTTGTAGTCATTTAGCATCCATTTTCTCAGCGATGTAATTTGATTTATAAAATGAGACGCACCGCAGATCCAGATCACTCCACAAATAAGCTTGTCTGTCCCATGTCATTTTTCAACCGATTTATGTATAAGAACAGAAAATGACAGCTCTACTTCACATTATTGTCCAATGAAATTTGAACTTGTGCCAGATCATGATTGGTTGGTGTATTTTAGGCGTGACAAACGGGCATTGATGAATTATGTAATATTCTAAAATATACAGTCGTGGTCAGAATTATTGGCACCCTTGGTAAATATGATCAAAGAAGGCTGTGAAAATAAATCTGCTTTAATCATTTTGATCTTTTATTTAAAAAAATTCACAAGTATCTAACCTTTCATTGAACTAAAACAATTGAAAATGGGGGAAAATCTCATTATAAAATGTTTTTTTCTCAAATACACGTTGGACACAATTATTGGCACCCCTAGAAATTATTACGAGTAAAATATCTGTGAAGTATATTCCCATTCATATTTACAATTTTGAGCATACCAGGGTGATTATGAACATGAAATTATCCAGCCATGGCTTCCTGTTTCACAGGAATATAAATAGGAGGGAAAACAAAGGCCAAATTCCCTTAATCATCCATCACAATGAGAAGAACCAAATAATATATTTCTGATGTGCAGCAAAAGATAATTGAGCTTCACAAATTAGAAAGTGACTTTAAGAAAAGAGCTAGAGCAGTCAAAATTCCCATTTCCACCATCAGGGCAATAATTAAGAATTTCCAATCAACAGAAAATGCTACAAATCTGCCTGGAAGAGGAGGTGTGTCTATATCGTCCTAATGCACGGTGAGAAGGAGAGTTTGAGTGGCTAAAGACTCTCCAAGGACCACAGCTGGAGAATTGCAGAAAATAGTTGTTTCAGGGTCAGAAAACCTTTAAAAAAAAAAAAAAAAAATCAAACAGCACCTATACCGCATGTGTTGTTTGGGAGGGTTTCAAGAAAAAAAATCAAGAAGAGAATATGCGCTCATCCAAAAACAATCCCCAGCATATTCTGTTGTCAGACACGACTGGATCTTCAAATGGGACTGGCTTCTATGGTCAGATGTACAGGTGCATCTCAATAAATTAGAATGTCGTGGAAAAGTTCATTTATTTCAGTAATTCAACTCAAATTGTGAAACTCGTGTATTAAATAAATTCAATGCACACAGACTGGTTCTTTTAATTGTGATGATTTTGGCTCACATTTAACAAACCCACCAATTCACTATCTCAACAAATTAGAATATGGTGACATGCTAATCAACTCAAAACACCTATAAAGGTTTCCTGAGCCTTCAAAATGGTCTCTCAGTTTGGTTCACTAGGCTACACAATCATGGGGAAGACTGCTGATCTGACAGTTGTCCAGAAGACAATCATTGACACCCTTCACAAGGAGGGTAAGCCACAAACATTCATTGCCAAAGAAGCTGGCTGTTCACAGAGTGCTGTATCCAAGCATGTTAACAGAAAGTTGAGTGGAAGGAAAAAGTGTGGAAGAAAAAGATGCACAACCAACCGAGAGAACCGCAGCCTTATGAGGATTGTCAAGCAAAATCGATTCAAGAATTTGTGTGAACTTCACAAGGACTGGACTGAGGCACCAAAAGTTGGTTAAATGACCATGGTGTTGGTGTGCTTGACTGGCCAGCAAACTCACCAGACCTGAACCCCATAGAGAATCTATGTGGTATTGTCAAGAGGAAAATGAGAAACAAGAGACCTAAAAATGCAGATGAGCTGAAGGCCACTGTCAAAGAAACCTGAGCTTCCATACCACCTCAGCAGTGCCACAAACTGATCACCTCCATGCCACGCCGAATTGAGGCAGTAATTAAAGCAAATGGAGCCCCTACAAAGTATTGAGTACATGTACAGTAAATGAACATACTTTCCAGAAGGCCAACAATTCACAAAATGTTTTTTTTTTATTGGTCTTATGAAGTATTCTAATTTGTTGAGATAGTGAATTGGTGGGTTTTTGTTAAATGTGAGCCAAAATCATCACAATTAAAAGAACAAAAGACTTAAACTACTTCAGTCTGTGTGCATTGAATTTATTTAATACACAAGTTTCACAATTTGAGTTGAATTACTGAAATAAATGAACTTTTCCACGACATTCTAATTTGAGATGCACCTGTAACTAAAATATTAGCTTTTTAGCAACAAACACTCAAGATGAGTTGAGTGATGGTTTGGTGCACACAGGGATAAAAAGTATCCCATGTGTACAATGAAATATACTGTTGTATTTTTAATGTTGTGGGCCTATATTTCTACTGGAGGTCCTGGTCATCTTGTTTAGATACATGACTTCTTTGATTCTACCAAATACCAACAGAAAAAAAAATCAAAAAGTGACTGACTCTGTTAGAAATCTTATAAATGGGCCATGTTCGGATCTTCCAACCGGACAATAATCCAAAAACAAACCTTAAAAACAACACAAAAATGGGCCACTGGGCACAAAACCCAAGCTTCTGCTATGGCCATTCCAGTCCTCTGACCTGAACCCTATAGAAAATGAGTGTGGTGAACTGAAGAGGAGAAGCACCATCGTGGAGCTGGGAATCTGAAGGGTCTGGAGAGATTCTGGATGAAGGAATGGTCTCTGATCTCTTGTCAGGTGCTCTCATCAGGCATTATAGGAGAAAACTCAGAGCTGTTATTATGCCAAATGGAGGTTTTAAAAAGCATTGAATAAAAGGGTGCCTTTAATTGTGTCCAATGTGTATTAGCGAAAAATGTCCTAATGATATTTCTGTCCATTTTAAATTCTTATTCTCCAATGAAAGGTTAGATTTATGTGAATTTTTTTAAATAAAAGATCAAAATGATTTATTTTCACAGCCGCCTTTGATCATATTTTCCAAGGGTGCCAATAATTCTGACCACAACTGTATAATAGGCTATTTGGATTTTTAATTAAAACATTGACACCGACACACTAGCTTTGATTATTTATGGAAAAAAAGTTTAAAATATTGTTTGGTTCATTTTTTTCCTTCTGTCGACCCACTCACTGAAAGAACCATATATGGCTTGAGAGTCTAGGTTTCCAAACAGACTGTGGAATATCAGTCAGTCAAGCAAAACACAAGCAACCCATAGCAACGCCTCAGATCGACTGATGTGTAAAAATAAACAGGAATTTTCCGACTTGTAAATGATTATTTTCTGTTTTGTACACATTGTCATGTTAATTAAAATGCATTTTGTTTTATTGACCACTATCATTGCTATTTGTCTGAGAGGGGCACTTTTGAATAAAGGGCAGGGGCTTGAGCCCCCAAATCCCCCCCTTCTGCACATGCCTGTTGCTTTGTAATAAGAGTTCGGCACAAACGCGATTCATTCACTTAGTGAGTGTAACCGTTTTTACAGCTCCGTGACACAACCCGTCAAAAGGCTTATATTAACGCCGCAGGATAAGCCTAAAGTTATCAGAGGTGCAACAGCGCGTTCATATAGATCAGGGATCCTCAAATCTGGCCCACGAGATCCACTTTCCTGCAGAGTTTAGCTCTTACCCTAATCAAACACACCTGAGCATGCTAATCAATGTCTTCAGGATCATTAGAAAATCACAGGTAGGTGAGTTTGATCAGGGTTGGAGCTAAACTCTGCAGCGCACTGGCCCTCCAGGGCAAGATTTGAGGAACCCTGATATAGATGTTTCCGATGCAGAGTGCAAATGGCTGTGCATTTATTTGTGTTTTTAACTCTATGGGAGCGGAATGAAACCGTCTGAAACCGAAGCTGTCTGTCTTCCCTCAGCTCCTCAGCGCACCACGCCCACTTTTTTTAGCGTTTTTTAAAAACTGCATTGAGAACTAACCAGTGCTGAAACGGGGTTTCATGACCCTTTAAGGGGGTCACATGAAAAAGGAGCACTATGAAAATGTGCAATAATTTTCAGAACTCAAAACTTCCTCCCCTATCCAAAAAAAAAATCTTTTTAAACTACACTACACAAAATGCAAAAAATTCGATCTAATTTTCACGTACAATTTGTAAACAATTTACAATTTGTAAAAAAGCTGACTAGCTAAATGCAAATTCAGCCTCTGACAGAAGGTGGCGCTTATAGAAAAGTAGAAATACCCCTGTTAGCATGCTACATAAAGTGCTGCGCAACTTTGTTTCTTTTCACGGAGAAGAAAGGAAATCAAACAGTATTGCTTTTTTAATGTTTTCTTATAATTATTCTTACTGAATGGGAGTCAGTGGCAGCCCTATGAAGGGAACATATAGGAAAATTATGAAATTTGGCACACTTGTAGTGATGGTCATGAATGGTGATCTGACCAACTTTGGAGTCTCTAGGACTAACTCTATAGTGCCACCAGCAGTTTAAAAATTCAACATTTAAATGATTATAACATTTGAACCCTTTGTTCTACAAAAATGAAACTTGCTCTCCTCATGCCGATCACATTCAATAGCTAACATTAAGACTCAGCCCATTACAGTAGTGGCCATTTTGAGAAGCATTTTGTTTTTTTTCGCTACTCCTCCCTAATAATTTGTCTAATTCTTACGAAAATGTGCATATATGATCTTTGGTCTGAGCCGCACAGAAATGTCTGAACAGATTTTTGTTATTCATTCGCATTTGGCTTTGTCTGACAGCTATTCAGGCATTTGTTTTGAAATATTTATCGCACCAATAAAATTAAAATGTTTATTGCACCAAACATTCGTCTTTGTGTGAACAGACCCTATTCATGTCCCAGGTAATGTGCCCTGCCCATTGGGATTATTACTTAGGATGGTTGTGAAAAGTGAAGTACAGCTGTTTTTGGCGCAAAACATTTTACGTAAGTTGACTTCAGGGACATAATGAATGCGTATAAACCCTATAATTGTATGATCTTGCTGAGGGTTAAATTTCCTCTTGATTACCAATCATTTTCTTTTGTAATTTTTTTCTCCAGTTTTTAAATAGGCAGTTTGTTTTGGAGAGCATATACAGTACAGGCGATAAGGAACAAAGCGAGGAATGGAGTGTGGAGACGGAGGTAAGCTGCTCTAGAAATTGTATTGTTTGTGTTGGTGCTGGGGCTGTTTTAGAGTTTTATTCCTCCAACAGAGAATTTAATTCCTCCACGGGTCCTTCCATGAATGGGAAGCTCAGTAGGCCCTAATATGTTTTTCATTCAATATTTGCTCATTCTGAAATGTATATACGTATGTGTATATGTATATATGTACAAATGTATGTACTCTGTAAATGTATTTTGTCACATATTGCATGTAGTAAAAGTAGGATTCCTTATAATAGCTTGTTTTTGCAGTCAGGACTTTGGAGACTCCAAAAAGCCACTAAAATATCTCTTTGCCTCCCTTGTGGTTAATAAAAGTAACTTTTGAAAGGAAAATGCTGGATGAATTATTATTATTATTTTTTTTTCAGTGTTTGCTGCCGTCTAGTGGAATCAAATAAAATGTACAATAGGTAGCTGAAGCACCCAGGACCTGAGTTATACACTTTCAAATACAAGATTCAAAGAAAAAAGAACACGAGCACCTATTTTTGGTGTTTATTTTGATATTTTGAATACGTACAATAATATTTATTACATTTTACATTTGGTTTCATTTTCTAAAAGAATGGCATCGATATTTTGCATTTACTTCACTCATGTGGGTAAGGCACCAAACATTCTAAAAGAATGGCACCGATATTTTGCATTTACTTCACTCATGTGGGTAAGGCACCAAACATTCTAAAAGAATGGCACCGATATTTTGCATTTACTTCACTCATGTAGGCAAGGCACCAAACATTCTAAAAGAATGGCACCGATATTTGCATTTACTTCACTCATGTGGGTAAGGCACCAAACATTCTAAAAGAATGGCACCGATATTTTGCATTTACTTCACTCATGTGGGTAAGGGCATCTATTAGATTTAGGCCCCATCCACACGGAGACGCGTTTAGCTGTATACGCATACATTTTGCATCATATAGGCGTTTCGTCCACACGGATCCGGCGTTTTGGGAGAGTGAAACCGATATTTTTTGAAACCGGGTCCCAGAGTGGATAAATCTGAAAACGCAGCCCTTGCGTTTTCGTGTGGACAGCGAAGTTTATTTTCTGAAACGATGACATCATCAGCCCACGTCTCGCCCCTAGTCAGACACCGCTACGTCACGTAACAGCTACAAAAACATGAACAAACACTGAACGATTGTCTTTTTATTAACTAACATTAACACAGATTAATGTATTGCTCCATGTTCGTTTGTATACCATGCGCAAGGTTTATATGCATAGTCCAAGTCGTCTTCTCCGTTTTTAGTGTATCTCTGTGGCAGAATTACAGCACCACATGCTGGTCTGGCGTGTATACTACATCGTTTTGTGGTTTCGTGTGGACGCAGATATTTCTTGAGACGAGGGGAAAAAAAGATCGGATAGGGAAAGCTCTGGCTTCGTGTGGACGTAGCCTTAGATGTGGAAATCCACAAAAAACCCAAAGAGTTTAAGGGGTTAAAATCCCTTGCCCTCCTTTTGTACATTTTTTTTCTTTTTTTTTTCTTTTCTTTTCTTCTTTTTTTTTATGTGCTGGATTGAGTGTTCATGTATTAAGTTCATGCATTAACTACGATTATAAAATATTAATTAAAATGATTGTTAGAATTCCAGTATTTTGGGGGATAAATATAGATGTATGTTTTTGTGTATTTATTTTTATTTATTTTTAGTTTTAGCTTATTTTAAAGCTTGTCATCATGAGGTCTCTTGGAATTTTGCTCAGGCCACTGGATTAGTGTGTAATTCTAAAACCTATTGGATCTGTTACAGGTGGTTAACTCCATGCAGCCGGTTCAGACCGCTCCCACCCCTGTCATCCCAGAGCCCCATCCTCTGACCACAACTCCAACACCCCCTTCAGAACCTGTGGTTAGGCAGCAGGTGGTTCAGGATCTCATGGCACAGATGAAAGGACCATACAACTTCATGCAGGTGTTTTTTTTTTTTTTTTGCAGAGTTTTATTTGGCATATGTTTGTATGCATACTAAATGCTCTCTTCGTTTCCAGGACTCAATGCTTGATTTTGATGGACAGTCTCTTGATCCGGCGATTGTATTGGCACAACCTATGAAACCAGTGCCTATAATGGTAATGCCGCCAATGGTGTGTCAACCAGGTATGTTCATATTTCCACCACATGGTCATTCAGTTAGCTTTATGGGTTAAGCAGTTCAAATCACCCTAACCTTTCTGGGCTGTTGGTTTCTCTACCTACAGTTCACTCTGAGTCTCGTCTTGCCCAGCCTTCTGCTGTTGGCGTTCAGCCTGAACCCACACAAGTGAGTGTAGCCAACTTCTTCTGGATTGGAAACTGTCTGGAAAAGAAAGATGAGAGTATTGACTTTATATCTGTGTAAAGATAAGTGTGTGAATTTACTTTGTCTGCAGATCCCCCTGGTCTCTCCATCACCAGAAACCTTCTCCACACCGCCTCCGATATACCAGTCTCCTCACGCTGCTGATCCCCGACCACAGACAGACTCCATTGATCCTATTCAGGCAAGTTGTCAAGCACCCAATCCTTTCATGAATTCAACGAGTTCTCCAACTTATTTCTGTGAAGCTAGAATATGAGCTTTCTAATGTAACCAAAATTTTATTGCACAATATCAAAAAATTGCTTGTCCTCTGTAGGCCTCCATGCCCCTGACAGAGCAGCCGCCTCCATCTACAGTGCTCCCTCCTGCCTCCCAGACCCAGGTGATCCAGCCCGGATCCAAACCCTTGCACAGCAGTGGCATCAATGTCAATGCAGCCCCATTCCAGTCCATGCAAACGGTAAGATGCCTGAATGAAAATTACTAGGAACACTTTAAAAATCAGGAAGTCATCTATGTTCATCATTATATCTGGGATGGCATGAAGGTGTGTACAGGAGGAGAATTCTCATGTTAGAGTGAAGTATTCCTTTTACAACACACACACTTTGTATGTTGGATACTCTATGATCTAATATTACATGTTCACTTATCCTCAATCTGTTCTTCCTGACAGGTGTTCCACCTTAATGCGCCTGTCCCACCAGCTAATGATACGGACTCAATGAAGCAGGCCAGCCAATACCAGAATAGCTACAGCCTGGGTTTTAATAACCAGACGCAGCACCCCGTGGAGCATACAGACATGCCGCCAGAGCAGCTCCAATCTGGTGAGGAAAATCTTCAGAATCCCTCAGATCATATTTTAATACCCACAATATAATCATGTCTATGTAGTCAGAGCTTCTCAACATGTGGCTCGTAGGAGCAAGCAGCAGTGAAGCTAATAAAAACGTATATGATTTTCTAAGGCCTGCATAATGCTATTTGTTTAATTCAGCTTTTTATCCCCGTGTTAACAGTAGTTGGTGCCTTCCATTCTCTAGACCAGTCACTCCCTAACTCTACTGGTCCCCAGCCCATGTCCCAGCAGTCAGGTGGCCAGGGCAACGGGTTCAGCCACCAGACTCAGTCCTTCTACAACAGCAGAGGGATTTCTCGAGGAGGTCCTCGTAACTCACGTGGTATGATCAATGGCTACAGAGGAACAGCCAGTAGTTTCAGAGGTACAGAACGACGTTGTGTTTGGAGCAGTCGTAGGTGGTGATTTTCACTAGATGATCATTAAAGTAATTGATGGATGAATCATTCGAGTTTTTGAATTAATTTCAGGAGGATATGACGGTTATCGCCCAGCCTTCTCCAACTCTGCAAACTCTGGATACGGACAAACCCAATTCAGTATGCCGCGGGACTATTCCAACAGCAGCTATCAGCGGGTAAGTTCAACTTTTGATACTAGAGTGAGAATAATGAGCTTCTCTCTTTATTGTTTGAGCATTAGTCTCAACTAGTGTTGTCATGGTACCAAAATTTCTGTATTCGGTACCAATACCCCAGTGAAAATCCACGGTTCTTGGTACCAAAGCAAAACACAAAAACATGTTAATCAAAAAATTTGACTGTACTTTCATTTAATCCAAACTGTGTACATATTTAATTTTAAAGGGTTTTTAAAACCTTCTAGAGTTATTCAGCCAAGAATAACAACTAAGTTAGCTAAAA